CCGAGCTCCTCGTTGGCGCGCTCCACTCCACCAACTCCCTGATGGTTAGCCCGCTGAGCCGACTCGATCATCGTGGGCGCCTTCCGCTGGGCCTTGATCTCCCTCGCCAGGGCCGTGATCGACGCCTCCTGGTCGTGCTTCAGCACGATGCGATCCAGCCCCCAGTTCTCGATGGTGGCGACCGCTGTCTTGACCATGTAGGCGTCGGTACCCTTCGGCCCCATGATGCCATGAATAGCCTGGGAGTTCATATGCACCATGTTGAGGATGCTCAGCTGGCCCAGGAAGTAGTAGTCGATCTGGACCTCGTCGCCTGTGCGCTCGTGCCCGTCCTTGTAGTGCGGGTCGTCCGTGAACTTGGATCTGACGCACACCCAACACCAGGACCTCGCAGGGATGTGCACCAGCTCGTGCGTCCTCTGCTCGGCCAGGCTTGGCTTCACTGGATCCTTCTTGACTCGAACTGGCACGGACTCCTCGAGCACTGCCTGCGCTGCTGGCTCGCTCGCCTCGGCCTGAGCGCGAGTCGCGGCAGCCCCTCCGCCGCCGCCGCCCTGGAGCGCGGCCCTCGCCGCTGCCCTGGACGCAGCTGATGCGCCGCCAGGCTCGCCTCCTGGCTCCTCGCCCCGCACCGGCATGACGAGCGAGTTCTTGACGCCTTCACCGTACCTGTCCATCTTGAGGTAGAACAAGTCGTTGCGTCTGACCAGCGGCACGGCGTCTGGGTCCGAGAACTCGATCGGCTTCGGGATCATGTAGCTCCCGCTCGGCGTGAATACCCACGACGTGCCCTTGTCGACCGCCTGCGACACGCCCAGCACCGGCCTCTTGACGTCGGCGACCTTGTAGTCCACCCCGATCTTGTGCCCGCCCTTCGCGTACGTGACGAAGCGCTCGCCGTGGCACGGGATGTCGTCGCCGCTCGCTCCGACCAGCCTGATGCGCTCGCTCAGGTCTCTGAGTGTCTCGTGGGCCCCGTGACTCGGCGGACACACCGATCGCGCAGCACCCGAATCCACCATGACCCAGTGCTCATTGATACCGACGATCTCCTTGCTCTCGAACGTCTCGTGCTCGTTTGCTGCCCCTGGCTGACTCAGCTGCTCGATCGGGCTGGCCCCGACCAAGAATGGCTGCCTCGGCTGCGCGTGCTCGTTTGACGCCTCTGGCGGGCTCAGCCGCTCGATCGGGCTGGCTCCGACCAAGGATGGCCGCCTCGGCTGCTCGTGCTCGTTTGACGGCCCGCTCGAACGACGGTGGATCGCTGTCGTTGCTGGTGCTGAGGGCGTCGCTGCTGCTCCACTCGATGATGATTCTCGCCCTTCTCCCAGCTCGATCGCGAGGCACCACAATGGCTCTGCCCCGCTCTCGGTTGCGATCGCCATCACTGGCGCCGCGCTCCCCGCGGCGCTCGCCGCTGGTGGAGCTCCCGTCGGCTTCGACTCCTGCTCGACTGCGTTGGTGCCCTTCTTCTTCTTCTGCTCTGCGAGGAACTTCCTGCACTCGCTCTTGACGTGACCTGTCTTGTGGCAGTGGAAGCATCGTTTCTCGGCCCTGTCCTTGGCCGCCTGGCTCTTCTGGTCCGTGGAGTTGTCGCCGCCCTTGCCCTCCCTGCCCTTGCCTTCCTTGCCCTTCTTTCCTTTGCCCTTCCACGCCGCCTCGCGCCTCGCCTTCTCCACCGCGCTCGTGTCCATCGGAACTGGTGGCGGCACTGCTGAGATGGCGCTCCTCGTCGAGATCACCATGTGCACTTCGTTGCGCATGAGCTCCCACGTGACTAGCCTCGACGCGTTGTGGACCAGGTGCGCTCGAAGAGCCTCGTCCTGAATCCCCCGCTGAAGGATCGCCATCTTGATCCTGTCCCCAATCCTCTCGTGGCTCTGGCTCTCGTACTTCGTGACTTTGAAGTCGAAGTCCGCCAGCATCCCCACGATGTTGTCCTCTGGGAACTGGAACGCGATCAGCTCTTGCAGCAGTCCTGCATGGCGACCTGGTCTGTCGGGCTCGTACATGTCTTGCAACGTCCTCCACGCCCGATACCCTTCTCCGACGCCGACTGGCTTGATGAGCTGTAGTGCGGCTCCTTCCAGCAGCAGGACGAGGATGAAGTACAGCTGGCGACTGCGCTGACTCGCTCCCTCCTCCAGGAGTCTCGCGTTCCTCACTTCCTCCAGCGGGAACGTCATGGCCGCCGTCAGCTCGTTGGCCATCTGCTCGTCGAGAGCTCCGAGGTATGCGAGCATCTTGAAGCTCCACCCTGGCCACTCGTCCTCGTTGCCTCCGAACGCCTTCGGCTTCGCCAGAAGCCGAGTGTCCACCAGATCCTGAGGCGCGGCCCTCGCCGCTGCCACGGGCCTGCTCGCGGCGGCGCCTGCGCTCGCTGCTGCTGACTCCGCCGCCAGGGCGCGCTCCTCTGCAGCCTGCACCCGTTGTTTTGCAGCCTGCAACGCTCCCTCGAGCGCCTGGAAGCGTCTCTCGATCTCTTCCATACTTCAGATCGAGCTTCTCGTCGAACTTCCTACTCCTCAGGATGTCTGCCTCGTTCGACCTCGAGCCACGCTTCGTCTTCTTCTTCTTCGGCGGCGTGCTGGGCTATGAAGGGCCGGCTGGCGCGGCCCTCGCCGCTGCCAGCCGCCAGGGCGCGGCCCCCGCCGCTGCCCTATCGCGGGCGCGCGCGCCCGCCGCGGGTGGCTGGAAGGGAAGCGGCAGCGGGAACGAACCCACGCCGCTCCGCTACCATGTCGATGGTTTTTACTTGGACCAAGGGGCTACAGATTAGCATGTACAGTCAACAAAAAGAGATCACGAAAATGTGGGGCACCTTGAAACACATCATTATCATGACCTCCGATCCTATGTTTTTCGGGTCACAACCCGGCTCTCTGGCGGCCGTTCGGGACGTTCGGGGCTGGACACCCCAGGAACGCTCTTGGCGAGGCGCAGACGAAGGAAGGCACCCCGAGGCTGGAACACCGCCGAGAATCGACGAGAACACCAGAACATCTCAAACCTCGAACACGGAACTCCCGCCCTTCCAGGTACCATTCCCAGACCTCCGACGTGCTGATTTATCCACTGCGAGCCCTGCAGAGCCCTGCACCACTTCCTCCTCCTCCTCCTCCTCCTCCTCCTCCTCCTCCTCCTCCACCTCATCTTCCTCCTCCTCCTCCTCCTCCGCCTCCTCCTCCTCCTCCTCCTCCTCCTCCATCCATCCATCCCTCCATGTCTCCTCCTCCTCCTCCTCCTCCTGCTCCTCCTCCTCTTCCACCCCCTCCTCCTGCTCCTGCTCCTCCTCCTCCGCCTCCTCTCCTCCTCCTCCTCCTCCTCCCCTCCCTCCTCCTCCTCCTCCTCCTCCCCTCCTCCTGCTCCTGCTCTTCCTCCTCCTCCTCCTCCTCCTCCTCCTCCTCCTCCTCCTCCTCCTCCCCTCCTCCTCCTCCTCCTCCTCCTCCTCCTCCCCCTCCACTCCTCCTCCTCCTCCTCCATCTCTCCTCCTCCTCCTCCTCCTCCTCCTTCTCCTCCTCCATTCCTCCATCCCTTCATCCCTCCATCCCTCCATCCCTCCTCCTCCTGCTCCTCCTCCGCCTCCTCCTCCTCCTTCTCCTACTCCTCCTCCTCCCGCTCTTCGTCCTGGACTGCTATTTGACGGTCCTGGGGCCCAGCGAGGGCCACCAGACGCCGAAGAAGACCACGGAGGAACCCCGCCTCGAACATCGCGCGCGAACCGATGTGCGCAAATCGAAGAGAATCAAGGAGGATCGAAGAAGCTCCGCCTTGACTTCTTCTCGAGGATCCTCATCGAGGAGGAGCGAATAATCCTCATCAAGGATCCTCATCGGAGCGTCGAGGATCCTCATCGAGGATCGAGGAGCATCGAGGAGGATCGAAGAAACTCCGTTGGAGGTCTAGAACATCATCGCCTTTTGGCTCATTCGGCCCTCGCACGGGGGACAAGCGATGGCACATGAACAAAACTGCCGGAGGCCCGCATGGATGTCTCGCATCTGGGCAGAGAGCAGAAAATCCACTGGCAGGGCTGTTTAGGAAATGCCCAGGGCCGTTTAGTAAACGCCCAAGGCCGTCTACCAAATGTTAATTATCGGTCCGGGTGTTTTTTCCTCCCTTGACTGAGGCGCAACGATAAGGGGGGGATAGGCATAGGGGGGGCACATCGACCTTAGAGGAACAATAAACATAAACTTTTGGAGGTCCGCGCGGATTTCTTGGATCTAGGCTGAGCACCCTCAGTGGCGCGCGGAGCGCGCCAGGGGCGGCGCTGGAAGCGCCGACCGGGGGGCCGGCGCAGATCCAAGAAATCCGCGCGGACCTCCAAACGTTTCCGTTTACGCCGTTCTTGTTTCTTCGAGAGATGGACTCGAAGGCACACTGCCGATAGATCGGCGATAGGCCCGCTGGGGCTATCGGGTCCCTAGCGGCGATCGATGGGTGACTACCTACCAGACCACCCCAACCCAACCCGAAGGCCCGAATTTCGGGTTGGGGGGGGTAAGGGTTCCATACGTGTTTTTGTCGACGTTCCCGGACCCCCCCCCACTAGAAATCGAGGGTAAATCTGAGCCTTCGGGTTGGGTTGGGGTGGTTTGGTGGGTGGTGAATGGGATTAGGGTCGATGCATCAACCCCTATGCCCATCCCCCCTTATGGCTGCCCCTCAGCATCGGCGCTGGGCCCCACCGGCGGAGCCTCCGGCGCCGCCGCCTGGCGCGCCCCCCGCGCGCCAGGGAGGGTGGCCCAGCGCCGATGCCAGAAACGCGAGCGGACCTCCGAAATTCCGTGCTTACGTCATCGCCTGTCCCTCGGCCCTCCTCGATCCTCGATCCTCCTCGATCCTCGATCCTCCTCGATCCTCGATCCTCGGTCCTCGAAGATCGATCCTCATCGATCCCCGATCCTTGTCGATCCTCAGTCCTCGATCCTCCTCGATCCTCCTCGATCCTCGATTCTGGTCACTCGATCCTCGATCATCGGCGGCCGCCGCCTCGCCTTCCGAGGTGCGCTTGCCGGAAGAGCAGGCAGCGCCGCCCGAACCGGCTGCCGCAGCAGCCCGACTCGACGGCGCTCAGCACCAGGCCTGGCGGGGGGTCCCTCCTCCGCCTCCTCCTCCTCCGCCACATCCTCGTCCTCCTCGTCCTCCTCCTGCGCGTCCTCCTCCTCCACATCCTCCTCCTCCTCGTCTCCTCCTGCTCCTCCTCCTCCGCCTCCTCCTCCCTCCTCCTCTTCCTCCTCTCCTCCTCCTCCTCCTCCTCCTCCTCCTCCTCCTCCTCCTCCTCCTCCTCCTCTTATTACTATGATTATTATTAGTATTATTAGTAATATTATTACCAGTATTATTATTAGTATGTTTATTATTATGATTAGTTGCTTACTTTTCCAATTTGGATTTGTATTAATATGCATGATGTTATCATGGTTTGTTCGTCGCCGTTTTCTAACAGAAATAAGTTGTAGCATTACTCGTATTCATCGTAGTAGTAGTAGTAGTAGTAGTAGTAGTAGTAGTAGTAGTAGTAGTAGTAGTAGTAGTAGCAGTACTAATAGTAACAATAATAATGTTATGAGTAGTAATGGTAGTGGTAGTCGTAGTGGTAGTAGTAGTAGTAGTAGTAGCAGCAGCAGTAGTAGTAGTAGTAGTAGTAGTAGTAGTAGTAGTAGTAGTAGTAGTAGTAGTGGTAGTGGTAGCGGTAGCAGTAGCAACAGTAGTAGTAGTAGTGTAGTAGTAGTAAGTATAGTAGAGGTAATAGTAATAGTAGTATAGTAGTAGTAGTATAGTAGTAGCAGTAGTAGTAGTAGCAGTAGTAGTAGTAGTATAAATGTAGTAGTAGTAATAGTAGGAGGAGTAGAGTGGAGTAGGAGTAGGAGTAGAGTAGGAGTAGGAGTAGGAGTAGGAGTAGTAGTAGTAGCAGTCTCAGTCCGTAGTCGTAGTCGTAGTAGTAGTAGAGTAGTATAGTCGTAGTAGTCGTAGTAGTCGTAGTAGTCGTAGTAGTATAGTAGTAGTATAGTTGTAGTGGTAGGTAGTAGGTAGTAGGTAGCAGGTAGTAGGTAGTAGGTCGTGGTAGTAGGTCGTCGGTAAGTCGTAAGTAGTAGTTGTAGTAGTAGTAGTAGTAGTAGTAGTAGTAGTAGTAGTAGTAGTAGTAGTAGTAGTAGTAGTAGTAGTAGTAGTAGTAGTAGTAGTAGTAGTAGTAGTAGTAGTAGTAGTAGTAGTAGTAGTAGTAGTAGTAGTAGTAGTAGTAGTAGTAGTAGTAATTGAAGTTGTAGTATTATTAGTAGTAGTAGTAGTCGTAGTAGTAGTAGTAGTAGTAGTGGTAGTAGTAGTCGTAGTCGTAGTCGTAGTCGTAGTCGTATCGTAGTGGTAGTAGTAGTAGTGGTAGTAGTAGTAGTAGTGGTGGTAGTAGTAAGTAGTAGTAGTAGTAGTAGTAGTAGTAGTAGTAGTAGTAGTAGTAGTAGTAGTACCAGTAGTAGTAGTAGTAGTAGTAGTAGTAGTAGTAGTAGTAGTGCAGTAGTAGTAGTGGTGGTAGTAGTAGTAGTAGTAGTAGTAGTATGGGTGGTAGTAGTAGTAGTAGTAGTAGCAGTAGTCGTATAGTAGTAGAAGTAGTATTAGTATGTGTAGTAGTCGTAGGAGTCGAAGTAGTAAATAAGTAGTAGTAGCAGTCGTAAATAAGTCCGTGGAAGTAGACGTGAAAGTAGTAGTAGTAGTAGTATTAGTTGTAGTAGTAGTAGTGTCGTAGTATAGTCTAGTAGTAGTAGCAATATGTAGTAGTAGTATAGTAGTAGTGTAGTGGTGGTGTGGTGGGTGTAGTAGTAGTAGTAAGTAGTAGTAGTAATCAGCAATAGTAGTAGTAGTGTCTGGAGTAGAAAGTAGAAATAGAAGTAGAAGTAGAAGTAAGTAGTGAGTAGTATAGTATAGTGGTGGTGGTGGGTGTAGTAGTAGTAGTAGTAGCAGCAGTAGTAGTAGTGATAGCAGTCGTAGTAGTAGTCGTAGTAGTAGTAGTAGTAGTCGTAGTAGTAGTAGTAGTAGTAGTAGTAGTAGCAGTGGTAGCGATAGTGGTAGTAGTAGTAGTAGTAGTAGCAGCAGCAGCAGAAGCAGCATTAGTAGTGGTAGTAGTAGTCGTAGTGGTAGACGTGGTAGTAGTAGTAGTAGCAGCAGTAGTAGTAGTAGCAGTAGCAGTAGTAGTAGTAGCAGCAGCAGCAGCAGCAGCAGTAGTAGTAGTAGTAGTAATAGTAGTAGTAGTAGTAGTAGTAGTGGTAGTGGTAGTGGTAGTCGTAGTAGTAGTAGTAGTAGTAGTAGTAGTAGTAGTAGTAGTAATAGTAGACTAAGAGTAATATTATATGAAACAGTAGTATTGATAGGTTTACCTTTCGTATGTTTAGTACGATTAGTGGTGTTATCATTATTCAAATTATTAGTATAGTATCATGCTTATGATTCCTCCTCCTCGCCTTCTTCCTCTTCTTCCTCCTCCTCCGCCGCCTCCGCGTCCTCCATCCCTCCTCCTGTTCCTCCTCCTCGTCCTCTTCCTCCTCGTCCTCCTCCTCCTCCATCCCTCGTCCTCATCCTCCTCTATCCCTCCTCCTCCGTCTCTCATCCTCCGCCTCCTCCATCCCTTCTCCTCCATCCCTCCTCCTCCATGCCTCCTCCTCCTCTTCCTCCTCTTCCTCCTCTGCAGACGGTTCGTCCTAGTGTTACTGATCGTCTTATCATAATTGCCAATTGTATCATTAATAAACGCTTACTGATAATAAGAACCAGCATCACTAGCATTATGATTAGTATTAGTATTATGATGACACAATTCGTATGATGTGCGTTCTCTCCTTATGATAAGTATTTCAAAAATTATTGGTATCGGGATAAACAATACTGTTGTTAGTGTCGAAATGCTTCCTCCTCCTCCTCCACATCCTCCTCCTCCTGGTCGTCCTCCTCCTCCCCCCCCCCCCCTCCCGCGCGTCCTTCTCCTCCAACTCCTCCTCCACTGGCATCCCTCCTCCTCCTTTTCCTCCTCCTTCTCCTCCTCCTCCTCCGTCATCCCTCCTCCTCCTCCTCCTCCTCCTCCTCCTCCTCCTCCTCCTCCTCCCCGCCTCCCTCCTCCTCCTCCACCAGCCCCCTCCTCCTCCTCCTCCTCCTCACCTCCTCCTCCTCCTCCTCCTCCTCCTCCCTCCTCCTCCTCCTCCTCCTCCTCCGTCATCCCTCCTCCTCCTCCTCTTCCTCCTCCTCGTCATCATCATCATCATCATCATCATCATCAGCATCAGCATCATCATCATCAGGAGCAGCAGCAAAAGCAGCATCATCACCACCAGCATCATCACCATCATCAGCAGCAGCATCAGCATCATCATCATGATCATCATCATCATCAGCATCATCATCATCAGGATCATCATCAGCAGCATCAACAGCAGTAGAAGCAGCAGCGTCATCATTACCATCAGCAGCAACAGCAGCATCAGCACAGGCATCACCATCATCATCATCATCATCAGCATCATCATCATCACCATCATATCAAAATCATCAACAACATAATAATCATCATCACCAGCCTCATCATCGTCACCATCACCATCATCATACTATCATCATTAGCCGCATAATCAGCAACAGCAGCAGCAGCGTCATCATCATCATCAGCATCAGCACCAGCATCACCATCAGCATCATCATCATCAGCATAGTCATCATCAGCATCATCATCAGATTCATCATCATCAGCAGCATCAGCATAATCGCCATCATCACCAACATGAGCATCATCATCAGCAGCAGCATCAGCATCATCAGCATCATCAGCATCATCAACATCAGCAGCATCACCATCGGCATCACAAGCCTCATCATCAGCATCACCACCACCAGCATCGGCATCAGCAGCATCAGTATCCGCATCATCAGCATCATCATCAACATCAGCATCAGCATCATCAGCGTCGTCACCAGCATCATCACCATCAGCACCAGCATCACCAACATCAACATCATCATCAGCATCATCAGCACCAGCATCACCACCACCGTCGCCATCATCATCATCAGCAGCATCATCATCAGTATCATCAACAGCATCGGCGTCATCATCAACAGCAGCATCAGCATCAACAGCAGCAGCATCATCAGCGGCAGCACCATCAGCGTCAGCATCGTCCTTCTCATAATCAGAATCACCATCAACATCGTCCTCATCATCAACATCATGACCACCATCATCATCATCATCATCATCATCATCATCATCATCATCATCAACATCAGCACCCTCATCAGCACCAGCATCATCATCATCATCAGCAGCAGCCGCATGATCATCATCAGCAGCATCATCAGCAGCAGCAGCGTCATCATCATCATCATCATCATCATCAGCAGCAGCATCAGCACCAGCATCACCATCATCATCATCATCATCATCATCAGCATAAGCATAGTCATCAATCATCAAATTCATCATCATCAGCAGCATCAGCATAATCGCCATCATCACCAACATGAGCATCATCAGCAGCAGCATCAGCATCATCAGCATAATCATCAGCAGCATCAAAATCATCAGCATCACCATCGGCATCACAAGCCTCATCATCAGCATCACCACCACCAGCATCGGCATCAGCAGCATCAGCATCCGCATCATCAGCATCATCATCATCATCATGAACATCATCAGCACCAGCATCATCAGCGTCGTCACCAGCATCATCACCATCAGCACCATCATCATCAACATCATCAACACCATCATCAGCATCGTCAGCACCAGCATCACCACCACCGTCGCCATCATCATCATCATCATCATCAGCAGCATCATCATCAGTATCATCAGCATCATCGGCGTCATCAACGACAGCATCAGCATCAACAGCAGCAGCATCATCAGCAGCAGCACCATCAGCGTCAACACCGTCCTTCTCATAATCCGAATCATCATCAACATCGTCCTCGTCATCAACATCATGACCACCATCAACATCAACATCATCATCATCATCATCATCATCATCATCATCATCATCATCATCATCACCCTCATCAGCACCAGTAGCAGCATCATCATCAGCAGCAGCATGATCATCATCAGCAGCATCATCAGCAGTAGCAGCAGCAGCGTCATCATCATCAGCAGCATCAGCACCAGCATCACCATCATCATCAACAGCATAAGCATCACAATCAGCATCATCAGCATCATCATCATCATCATCAGATCCATCATCACCACAATCAGCATAATCGCCATCACCATGCACAGCAGCATATTCAGCATCATCAGATTCATCAGCAGCATCACAATCAGCAGCATCATCACCATCGGCATCACCACCACCAGCATCGGCATCAGCAGCAGCAGCATCCGCATCATCAGCATCCTCATCACCATCAGCATCATCAGCATCATCATCAGCGTCGTCACCAGCATCATCACCATCAGCATGAGCATCATCAGCACCATCAGCATCATCATCCGCAGCATCAGCAGCACCACCACCATCGCCATCATCATCAGCACCATCAGCATCAGTATCATCAGCGTCATCGGCATCATCATCAACGACATCAGCAGCAGCAACAGCACCAGCAGCAGCACCATCAGCGTCACCATCGCCCTTTTCAGGATCATAATCAGCATCAACATCATCAACATCATCAACCTCGTCCTCATCATCAACATCATGGCCAAATTCAGCATCAACATCAACATCAGCATCATCTGCATCAGCAGCATCATCTCATAGTCATGATCAGCATCGTCAGCATCAACAGTATCATCACCATCCGCATCAGCATCATCATTATCATCATTGTAACCACACGCCTAATAATCATAATACACATCAGCATCATCATCATCATCATCACCACCATCACCATCATCATCATCATCATCAGCATCATCAGCATCATCGTCATCAACATCATCAGTATCATCATCATCATCCTCATCCTCATCCTCATCCTCCTCCTCCTCCTCCTCCTCCTCCTCATCATCATCATCATCATCAACATCATCAGCATCATCATCCATCCCTCTTCCGCCTCCACCTCTTCTTCCTCCATCCCTTCGCCTCCTCATCATCCCTCCCTCCATCCCTCCCTCCGCATTCGCCTTCATCCCCCTCCTCCTCCTCCTCCTTCTCCTCATCATCCTACACCTCCTCCTCCTACTCCTGCTCTTCCTCCTCCTCCTACATCTCTCCTGCTCCTCCTCCGCCTCCTCCTCCTCCTCTTCTTTTCCCTCCTCCATCCCTCCTCCATCCCTCCTCTTCTTCCTCGTCCTCCTCCTCCTCCTCCTCCTCCTTCCTCTCCTCCTCCTCCTCCTCCTCCTCCTCTTCGCCTCATCCCTCCTCTCCTCCACCTCCTCCTCCCCCACCTCCTCCTCCTCCTCCTTCTCCTCCTCCTCCTCCTCATCCGTATCCCCTCCTCCTCCCCTCCTCCTCCTCAGCCTCCTCCTCCGCCTCCTCCTCCTCGCCATCCCTCCTCCGTCCTCCTCGCTCCCTCCTCCTCCTCCTACTCCTTGTCGTCTCCTCCTCCCTTTCTCCTCATCCCTCTCCTCCTTCTCCTCTTTCTCATCCTGCCCTCCTCCTTATCCTCGTCCTCCCCTCCTCCTCTCCTCCTCCTCCTCCTCATCCTTCTCATCTCCCTCCTCCTCCTCCTCCTCCTCCTCCTCCTCCATCCCTCCTCCGCCTCCTCCTCCCCCTCCTCTTCATCCTCCTCCTCATCCTCCTTGTCCTTCTCCGCCTCCTTCCTTCTCCTCATCCTCTCCTTCCTCCTCCTCCTCCTCCTCCTCTTCCTCCTCCTGCCCTCCTCCTTATCCTCCTCCCTCCTGCTCCTCCTCCTCTTCGTCCTCATCCTTCCTCCTCCCCTCCCCTTCTCCTCATCCCTCTCCTCCTCCTCATCTTCCTCTCCTGCCCTCCTCCTTATCCCTACCTCCTCCTCCTCCTCCGCCCCTCCTCCTCCTCCTCCTCCCCCTCCTGATGCCTTCCTCTCCTCCTCATCCTCTCTCCCCTCCTCCTCCTCCTACTCCTCCTCCTGCTGTTGCTGGTGCTGCTCCTCCTTACTGTTTGCTTCCTCCACTCCCCGTTCTCCCCCTCTTCCACATCCTCCTCCTCCTCCTCCTCCTCCTCCTCATTCTTCTCTACCCTGGACAAAAAAAAGCAACGGATCCGAAGCCCAAATCCTCCTCCTCCTCCTCTTCCTCCTCCTCGTCTTCCTCCGCCTCCTCTTTTTCTTATTCGTAGTCCTCTTTGTATGCTTCGTCTTCTTATTCTTCCTCGTCCTCCTCCTCCTCCTCCTCCTCCCTCCTCCCCTTCCTCCTCCCCCTCCTTCCTGGTTCACTCCCCCTCCTCCCTCCTCCCCCTCTTCGTCTTCCCTCGTTCCTCCTCCCTCTCCTCCCTCTCCCCGGCAGCTCATGCCTAGCACGGGCCACAGCAGCACGAGCGACGCCGCCGAAATAAAGGGCGCGTACACGAACTCCCAGGCCACGTCCTCAGGCGGCTCGGAGGACGAGGGAGGACGGAGGACGGCAGAAGAGGAGGATCGATAGGGGGAGGTTGGTGACGACGAGCACACTGAGGGAGGACATTTCGATGTATGTACGTATGTATGTATGCATGCACGTATGCATGCATGCATGTATATGTGTATATGTATATAGTGGTAGAAGGAGAGGCATGCACGCATGCACATACATACATATATATATATATATACACATATATATATACACATATATATATGTATATGTTTATACACGCTCATACGTACGTGGGTGCATACAAATACACACGCACACTTTTTATAACCTACAGTAACCTGCATTCTGGTACATTACACTACACTGCATTCCATCACATGATATTACATTCAGTCAAAGTATAGTACTTTACACTACATTACATGGCATTACAGGACCATTACACTGCACCGTGTTACACTACATGACAATACCATGCATCGGATTGCTAGACATTGCTATACAGCACTATACATTACATTCCATGCACCCGCCGCCGTGCCAGCTTGGAAGGGGCGTGCGCGGGCTGGAATGCTCGTCTGTCGTCTGGGAGCTTGTTGACACACGGCTTCTAGGGCCGCCCCCCCTCGCCCCGCGCGTGGTCCGAAAACCCCATCAGGTTGCTCCCCGGCGCCCGTGTCGGCCTCCAGGCTGCCAAGATGGTCTCCAAGGCGGCTTCGAAGGCAGCCACAACGACACCCCAACGGCTCAGTATGGCCCAAGACAGCTCAAGAGGCCCCCCCAAGACGGTCCAAGTGGGTTCCGAGAGGCCCTCCAGGAGAACACGATGATGCAAAAGCGCTGATGTCCTACGGTGGTTGAAAGATTGTGAGGTTTGCGCTTGGTTGGGTGTGTGACGGCCCAAGACGGCCCAATAGACCTCCGAGATAGCCCCAAGATCGCCCATGAGGCCCCCAAAGAGGGCCCCAAGTCGGCCCAGGAGGACCCCAAGATCACCCAAGAGCCTCCCAAGGGGCCCAGGAGCGCCCCAAGATGGCAACAAGACGGCCCAGAGAGGCCCCCAAGACGGCATCCGAAGGCGCCAGACGGACCAAGAGCCCCCAAGACGGCCAACGAGGCCCCCAAGAAGCCCCACGAAGCCCCAGGAGGCCCCAAGAGACCTCCGAGGAGAGAAACATTGATCTTCCTCTGCTGTATGGAGGATTTAAATGTCTCACCTGTCTGGGTTGCCGACTGCCCAGGACGGCCCAAGAGGCCTCCAAGATGGCTCCAAGACGCCGGTAGTCCCCAAAGAGAGCCCCAAGTCTGCCCGAGAGGACCCAAGCTCGCCCACGAGCCTCTCAAGTGGGCCCCAAGACGGCCCTGAAACGCTCCTAGAGGCCACCAAGACGGACCATATGAGGCCCCCAAGATGACCTCCGAAGGCGTCAGACGGGCCAAGAACCCCACTAATACGTCCCATGAGGCACCAGGAGACCTCCGAGGAGGCGAAAAAACATGGATATTCATCTGCTTCATGGAGGGTCTGAAACCCACCCCTGCTTGGACTCCCGACCGCCCAGGACGGCCCAGGAGGCCTCCAAGACAGCTCCAAGGCACCCGATAAGGTCTCCAAAGGAGGCCCCAAGTCTAGAGGACCCAAGATCCCAGGGCTTCCAACTTCGCGCTTCGCGAAGCGCGAATAACTTCGCGCTCTCGCGCCGCCCCCCCAAGGGGAGAAAAGGAGGACGAGGAGGAAGGGGACAGGGGACGAGGACCGCGAGGAGCGAATACTCTCGCGCCTTCGTGGGAGGGCCCTGAAGATCGCCCAAGAGCCTCTCAAGAGGGCACAAGGACGGCGCAGAGAGGCCCAGGGCAGTCCAGGGAGGCCCAGGGCAGTCCAGGAGGAGGAGCAGCAGGAGCAGGAGCAGGAGCAGGAGCAGGAGCAGAAGGAGGAGGAGGAGGAGGAGGAGGAGGAGGAGCGCACCCACCGAAGAGGGGGAGAGAGAGGTCCGACGTCCAGCACCCCGCCAGCCCGCGCAGAGCACGCGCGCGGGGCGGTCCTCGGGGAACGCTGTGGCCATCTCGGAGACGGCGGCCGCCGCCGCACGCGTGGGCGACACCACCGACGCGATCAGGGTGGCACAGACAATTCACAGGACATGCATAAAATAATGATCAAAGTAAAGCAAGGTCATTGCCCTAGGAAATCAACGCACCCCGACCAAGGGCCTGAATGACCTTGCTCCGTCTCGCACCAACGCGCAATCTGGCCTTAACAAGAGACAAGGTATAGGCAGGAGTGATACATACAGAGGGAGAAGTCCGAAAATTCTAAAAACAATTATGCATAATATCCACAGCGACGAAGTGTGACAAGAGGCACTCACAGGACGGGGCAGGGAAGAGATGGGGGAGGATAGAACTCAGAGGTCGATCGCCCCAACATTCAGGAAGCCAAGGAATAATACTCCGAATGCACTGGATCAGGACAGGGCATATCGAATAGTGGAGCAGGTCGTCTCCGTTCACAGCGTAACAGCCGAATCCACGCACCTGCGCCGCCTGCCTATGCCGCCGAGTGGTCTTCCATCCATTAAATATGGACTTCAAACACGCCGATAACATATATCCAGGAAGTTTGGGACCAGCAACACCAATACGACTAACCGTCAGAAACACATCGGCGGGCACAATATCAGGGACCCATTTTTTAGCATTGGGAAAATAACGTCCTGGATACTGGGAAACTCACGCCGCTGATTCATGAGCAACATCTTGGCCACCCGAGCCTGGACGGCCTTGGGCTTGCAGCTCAAGGGGCGGTGAATCTGGAAGAACTGATTATACAGGTCCCAGATGCGCAGGAAGAGGGAATGTTTCGCATAAGGGCTATACCTCCATGCGATCACAACGTCGTCCGAGTCTGCATGATCCAGCAATTCATTGTTCAGTTCATGAAACTTGTCAGAGTTGATAGCGGAACGTAACATGCAGGCACGGGCACAGATCTCCAGTCTCCGCGCCTCCACGCGGTGTCCTAAATCTTTGGGCTGATGCAGGGTCTCAGGCGGGAACGCAAACCTCGGGAAACAGGTGAGCCCCTGGAGGATGTTCTTTTCAGCAAGACGGACAGACTTTGGGGGGTCCCAGACCTGCGACACGTGGCTTACGACAGGCAGCGCATAAATGTTGCATGCGGAGACGCTATAAGATCAACCTCCTCCCATCTGCTTCACTTGCAAAGTCCTCCTCCCCAAGGTAGTAATAACCTGCTTCCAACTCTCATCCCTCCCCTCGGTGCCCAAACACACACCCAAATACTTTCCATTCCTGAATATCTTAAATTGACGATTTATACGCCCACTCTCCGAAGGTCAGCAACTACAGATTCACGAAAGGCGGGCGAAGGGATCACCAGTGCGCACTTGGCAAGGTTCAAAATGGGGCCAGAAGCTTTGCCACCGTCCGAGAGCGCTCTCAGAATCGTCGGGAGGCCCTGGGGAACATCGCGACAGCATATGCCTATGTCGTCGGCGAAGGCGCCCATCTCGATGGGCAGACTTGAACGTCTTTTACGAATTCTCGTCAAAATCGGGCTGATACATAAACAGAAGATTACTCCAGAAATGGGGCAGCCTTGTTTCGCACCCCATTCTAACCGCAAAATATACAGGATCGCAGCCGTGAGTGCATATACTCATACGCACATCCGAATGCAACGCCTTGATTGCTCGACGAATATTCCGAGGAAGATTTACACGCCGTAAGACAGCCCAAATATACTTGTGAATGACACTGGGGAAAGCGTTTTTTTTTTTTTTTTTTTTTTTTCACAGCAAAAAGCGCCGATCCAATCCGAGGGGGAACGTCCATCATGGCCCACTTCAAAAACGCAGCGTCCAGGGAAAACACATGGTCCAGAAGCTGGCGGCCCTTAACGAAACCCTTATGGCAATCCTCAGCGGTGTCCTTCACAACATCTGAGACCGCAAAGCCGACGCAGCTGGTGACAACCTTGTTGTCAGAGTTCGATAATGATAGGGGCCTCGTGCACGCTGGCGCACGGGAAGCGGTATCAATACCGCCTGGACAGCCCTCAGGCAGAAACACACCTATAGCAACGTTAAAATCAGGAGGGAGGCGCCCAGTCTGTATCATCCTCAAGTAGCTTTCGTGCAGAATATGCTGAGCCGAATCGCCAGCTGATTTCCAAGCAGCATAAGGAACGCCATCAGGCCCTGGGGCAGTGTTTCTTCCAAGAGATAATATCCTGAAATTTGCTCTCAGGGACAACCCAAGGATACAATGCTAGATCTCTGGCCTGGTAGTGGAACGGGTGGGAGGGGATCGGGGTGATCTCAGAACACAGATCCTCACTACTTTCCTCACTAGCCTGCACATCTTGGAAGACTGACTCCCAGTGCGAGGCAATAATCTCGGCGCACCTCCGACCATCAGAGTAATGCTGGCCATCAACGTCAGTGACCTGCTGCAAACAAATCCTGCGGCCACATGGCCGCCACGCACGAGACATATCACGAACTTAGCCTCGGCGATGTCCGCCTTAGACTTCTCAACAACAGAGCAAAGCGCCGCTTCTCGCTTGGAACATATATCTCTCATCAAACTCCCCAGGTGCAAATTAAATGCCCCACGGTCAGACCAGATATTCAACTCCAAATCATAAAATCTCCCCAATACAGAATAACCAGATATCGCTTTCTTGGCACTGTGAAAACGTCCTCCACGAGCGGCCCGACCTAATTTTAGGCAACAAGATACTCGTTCTTCAAGCGACTCAGCTCCTTGACTAGCAATGCGGGCCTTGACGCGCCCAGCAGCGTAATAGAAGACATCTTTGATGCCCTGCAACTGCTCGTCTAAGTTCTGGCCTAACTCCTCCGGCACGATAAGGTCCTGGACAACTTCCTGAAATACGCGATGATTAGCTACCCAAACCGCGATCGGGGATGGACCCTGGGGCCCCCGCGGCACAAGCTTCAGAAACACGGGAACGTGGTCCGAAGGT